CCTTCTCGGGTCCCCCAAAGATGGTCAACGCCCCCACGTCAGCAGGAAGCAGTCTTAAGAATTCGACGCCCTTATTCCTTAACCTGCCATGTCTAAACACCCCACCTTTTTTTAATAATAAGTAGAGGTGGGAATGAAAGGTTCAGGCATTATGCTGGCCTGCCCCTGTTACCTGGTGGAATCCACTCAGGCAATACCCTGGTCAGCCCAAGGTTCCATGGGAAAGAAGTCTGTACGCAGGTGCAGAGGACCCCTTTAAAAGATAGGCCCCTGCCCTCTCTCTCTCTCTCTCCCCCTGTTCCTGCTCTCTGTCCCCTCTCTCTGTTTCCCCGCTCTGTCTCTCTATGGCGACCGGCCATGGCAGTCAGCCATTACCCTGTTCCTCTTCTTAGTCTACCCATTCTGCCTTATAATAAACTTATAGTCAATATGTCCATCTCAATATTTCTCTTTTCTTCTTTTTAAACAAAAGAATAACACCTGTACCCTCACCTTTAGAGCTACAATTCTTTCCTTCCTTAGGCCCAACTGAGCTATTGTTCCCTCCCCTTACTGCCTCTTTTCCCGCCTTCCCTTCAGAGCTACCCATCATTCTACAGCTCCTCTAGGCCCTGCTGGCTTTTGCAGGTCTGTTCCCAACCCTTTCCTGTGAATAGAACTGCTCCCATAAAGCAGTTTTTGTTTTGCCTGGGGCAAGCCTTTTGGCCTTGTTGAAATGGTACCAGTGCCAAGTCTCCTCTTCAGATTATTAGCCCAGACCCCTGTTGAGTGTGGTAATAACTCACTGAACAGCTTGACCCCTGTTTGGTCTTCCTTGAGTCTTGGGAATGCCCTGACCACAGGCTGCCTAGACCCTTTTCTCTCCACATCCCCACCATGGGAGAATTTCTCCATAGGAATGCTGTCTTCTGTGCCATCTCATGTCCCCTTGGGATGCCTTTGAGAAAACCTCCAGCCTTTCCACCTGACATCTGACCTGAAGGACCCTAAACTTGTTCATCTTTAAGATTACATTTGGCCTCAATACCCCTTAGATAATCAATAAAAATGGCTGCTTAACTGCACCCTAGATGCTAGTATTATTTAGGACCTTTACAAATACTGCAAGCAAGCACTCTGGGAAATGAAAAGCGATTCCCTACATCAAAGATTTCTGTTACTTCCATTCCAAGCTTTCTGTCTGTTCTTTCTGTTTCCCCACTTAGCTCCTTCTAGGTATAAAAACCTGAATGAGATGATTTCTTCACTCTCAGCAAGTCAAACTGCAAAGAAAACTCAGACTAAAGTAGCTTCCTGGAAGAAGCAGAAACCAGCCAAGCTGCCTGGGGAGAGGTTCTAGACCAACTGAGTCACTTGGAAAGGACACTTCCCCTTCCTGTTGAGCTGTCTACAAACTATGTATGCAGTGTGTTCTAAGAGCTTTTGTGAGCTGTCATTCACACCAGGGTGGGCAATGGTGATGCACCTATCTCTGAGTAATTTCTGCTCCTCTAGGTAAACCCTTACCCATATTCCTGTAAGTAAACCCAGCAGAACTTTCTGGTTCACCAAGTGAACTTTAGTGGTAGTCATACTTTGGTCTGTCATGGATTCCCTGTCTGGAGTGAGAAGAAGTGTGTATTACATCTCCCCTGGAAAAGTCTTGTTACATATACACTAGTAAAGAGTATAGCATACCTATACTTGGATTTTTTGTTTCAGAACCCATAGATTAGAAGAGCAGTATATAAGCCTATTATTAAGTTTGGACAATTTGTTGACTTAACTTTCTGTAAGAACTATATTAAACAATTGCAAAGTAATAGGAAAGCTAAAAGCAATATGGGGACCCATGCTGTGTGTCTATTTATGTTCTATACTCATCAAAAGACTTTTGAATTTTTATTATTTGATTCTCTAGTGATGTTTTCTTGAGAGGCAAAAGTAGTTCCACTGAGTAAAACCATGAAATGATGGAGGGAGAGCTTTTGCCCTGAAATCTAGTCCTTTTTTCCCAGGCATTTCTTTGTTTCCCTTTTCTTTTTCTTTCTTTCACTGCTTTTTAACTACCCACATGGATTTCCCTCAGACTGGAAAGAGAGCCAATCACTGACATAGCACAGGAAATGAAGTACAGGAAGCAAGGCTTACCTCTAGAGCTGAGGGACACAGGAAAGGAGATGGGGTGACTGTAGCACAGGCAG